GCCGCTGCACGACGCTCCACCTCCGCCTCGTGGAAGCTTGAAACACGGCTTGTGTGGTTTAGGGTGGAGGGCTTGGGGTTTAGGGTTTAGGGTTTAGGGCTTGGGGTTTAGGGTTTAGGGTGGAGGGCTTGGGGTTTAGGGTTGAGGGTTCAGAAGCTCAGGATCGAGCAGTATCTAGTCGAGCTCGATGTGTAAAATCCAAAATCTCGAAGAATACCGACCCCAGAGAACCCCAAAACGTGATGAAACAGCAAGTTTATTATCATCCACTTAAAGTATTCGAGTTTTCTTGCTCCACTCTGCAGCGAGGCATCGACAGACGACGTTTGAGATCGCCTTCCCTGCAGCAGGTGGCTCCTCATCCGTGACCGGCTTGACGTCGAAGGCCTACCCCAGGCAACCGAAGAGCATCTCTTGTTGAGACGCTGTTGGGCTGAGGGTTTCGGGCTTTAGGGTCTATAAGCCCTACACCACATTGAGGTTCAGACTTAGACTATGATCGTAAAGAGAAGCTCTTCACAACGGTAGACCCCGAACCTTGAAGCCAACATGCTGAAGTCCCAAATGGGACAAGCTATCGGCTTTGTTGTGCATCATGCTCGTCGAATTCAATCTCGTGGGATCTCGCTGAAGACTTTAATTCAGTACATATAATAAGGATACGTGTACAAACAAATCGACCATAAATCGAAGAATAAGCAACGTAATGAATACTGCATGCATGCATGCACACCTACACACACACCTATATACACGCATGAACATATACATATCTTTGTGTATGCACACACTTGCTTCATCTTCTGGCAGATTCTGGCAGGTGAACCTAGGCTCCTGAACAAGAACCCGGATTCTGAATCTTCATCCTGAGGACATTACACACAAAGAGCACCATGGCAGCCAGGACACCGCCTCAGCCCAGAGCCCCTTCAAACATTCCCATGGGCCTTTCAATCGAGCCCATAGGGCTCCCAATCGTGGCTTAGTCAGGCTTAGTCTATTATCGAAGGCAATTGGGAGAGGGTCTAGGCAACCACAAACCTCATGGCACACTTTATCTACAAACCGAAACCTAAACCCCACAGCCAGCCTGCAAAACCAAAGACGTGTCATGAGAACCGTGCAAAAGAAGGAACCGACCATCAGATCCTAATAGCAGCAACGCGATTTAACAAAGAGTGATCGAGACCCACCACTAAACGGAATAACGGGTCTGATGGATTAATTCCCTAAGGCCTATTCCAGGTTTCATGCTTTGGATCCTCTCAGCCCTAAGCCCTAAGCGCTAAACCCCGCAAAAGCAAGGCGTATACCCAGATCTTCCTATATCGCGTAAATGAGGAATATGCCTTAAATCATATTAAGGCCCTCATATCTTAAGGTATATTCCGTAATTAAGGGGTATTGGGTTCTCTAGGATCCCTAACTTCCTTCACTCGAAGACATAGGAAAGATATAGGTACCAGAGACCCTAAACCGTTCGGGATACCTCATAGAGACCTCTGTAAACCCCTCAAGGTAACGACCAACGACGCACCCTAAACCATAAGTCCTAAACCGTGGAAAACCTAAACCCTTAAACCCAAAAACCCTAGAACCCTAAACCCTTCAACCCTAAACCCTTCAGCCCCTAAAACCTCAACCCTTAAGCCCAACAAAAACCCTAAACCCCCTAAACCCCTAAACCCCTCCAGGCCTTCCAGTTCGAGCCTGACTGAAGGATCCCCCATGCGAGGACGCGCGGAAGCAGCGACCCAGCATGGGTTCCATGAAGAGTTAGGGTTTCATCCTTCCTTTAAATGATTATTATGATTATTAGTATTACTATTGTTGCTATTATTATGATTACGATTATGATGATGATTATTATTATTACTATTACTACTATTACATTATTACAATAATAACTATTCCTACTATTCTTGCTATTCTTACAATTATTACTACTATTGCTATTCTTAAGGGCTCCTTTAAGGGATCTACCGGAAATACCATACGGGGTTCCAAAATCAGCCTGAATCGTTAACTAGGGATTCGGGCATTCGGGCGTCGATATGCCATGAATGCTGTGTGCTCGGGAAGCTCCGAAATTCGACGAATTCGGCTACGCTGCACTCAGGTCTTCGGGTTTAGGGGTTTAGGGGTTTAGGGGTTTAGGGTTTAAGGGATCAGGGTTTTAGATAGCTATACCTGGTACTTGATTGCTTGAGATAGCCCTAAACCCTCAGCCCTAAAGGCAGGTTCTTCGGATACAAGGGGCCGTACTTTCGTGAAGAGCAGGGCTTCTGCCCCAGAGAGCCCAATACCCCGTAATCAAGGGGTTATTGGAATCTCACTTCAGGGCTTTAGGGCTTTGGGGCTCTAAGGCTTTAGGGCTCTAAGGCTTTAGGGCTTGGGGCTTTAGGGCCTTAGGGCTTTCGGGCTGTGAAGGTTTTATGACTTTAGGCGTTTTATGACTTCGGAAAGCAGGCAAAACGAACGCAGGAGAGAGAAATGGATCTTGCCGTTTGGGCCTTCAGCTGTTAAGCAGTACGCGCCGAGGTATACCTACCCCGAAGGTAGGAACTTATAAACTAGGTTCTCCAACCCCTTAATAGTAAGGGTACCCTTTTTGCTACTATTTGGTTTTAATAAGGAGACCCCAAACCAAAAAGGGCAAAAGGGTACTACCGTGGAACCTAGTAAACCTACCTTCAACTGCCCATGAACCTGCACGCTACCTCCGCAACACCGCGGAATTAGGGCTCGCCAAGCTCGCACTCTTCAGACGTTCTTCTAGACTTAGGATTCAGGGTTTAGGTTCTAGGGGTTTAGGGTTTAGGGTAGACAGCTTCGGAAAGTGACGAGGATCCCGAGGACAAAGCAAGCATAAGGGGACCTGGACTAGGCTGTCGGGTTTGTCGTTAACGATTTATACAGACTCCGACAACAGGAATCGGTAACCTAGGTACGTAGCCCCTTGACCCTAAGTCCTAAGCCCCTAAACCCCTAAAACCCTACACCCTTCAACCCCTAAACCCCTACACCCTAAACCCCTAAGCCCTATTAACCCTGAACCCTAAATGGGGAGGGGGCGTTTTGCGGGTCTACGGCGTGCATCATCGTTACGCTTGAGATGTGGCTCAGAACGCTTTTGGTGGGGCCAAGAGTTCAGGGCCACAGATCCCTGGGTTTAGGGTTTGGGGGTTTAGGCTTTAGGGTCGGAGTTCAGGGTTTTGAGGGTTTAGGGGTTTAGGGTTTAGTGGTTTAGGGGTTTAGGGTTTAGGGGTTCAGTGTTCAGGGTTTAAGAGCTCTTTGTCTTGCGGACGGACCCAGCTCATCAACGCAAACTTCTCGGACACAATTGTGCATGCATTGGCTGCCACAGAGGACCCGGGCTAAATGGGGTACTGCTCTGACGACACTGCCTATGCCGATCAATCTCAACTTAAGCTCTGCTCCACCCTGATTTAGCCATGGTCGGCAGAATTCCGGATTTTTGTAGACAATTGGGTTAGGCTCAGCGCCTTGTACCCAACAGCGCAGTGCGAACTAATTCTCGGGCTCGGACCCCGTCTCACAGAAACTGACTGCTCCTTAGTTGCCGAGTTCATAGGCGGAAAACAACCAAGCTGTAGTTGTAAGGGGGGTTTTGTCATCCCAACGAACCCAAAGTTCACTATCTTCAGCTACCAAGGCGCCACTATAGAGCATGACATGCGGCTGAAGATGGGAGCTGAGCATGGAGCAGAAGAGCTTGAAAGCCTTCTCCGGTTGCCCGCCCTCCTCGCAAGAGACGATGGCTGCTCCATAGCTGATAACATCCGGAGTGAGCTTAGCCTTGCTCGCCGAGGTCAAAAGCCAAAGCGAAGTTGAATGTTCAGTGTTTAGGGTTTAGGCTTGAGGGCTTAGGTTTCTTATGTTACCCCAACAAAAAAAATTCACTAAAGCGGTCATGAAGTGGCTCGAGGCAATGCATCAAAAAGCTCAAGTGCGAGCTGCCACTGAGCTCCTTTCTCGCAGGAGCTAATTGTGGCAGAATAGCTGATCAGATCCGGCACCAGTCCTGTCTTCTTCAATCAACCCTTCCACCACGCCAAGAGGTCACTTCTTTAGTAGTAGGCCCTAGGCCCAAAAAGCTCAAGCTTTGCAACAAGCTCTAACTTGCTACAAGAAAAACAGACGAGTTGAGAAAGCCCTAAGCCCGCTCTCTCGCTGGCTCGCCAAGAATCTGGCTTCCGGAAAGGAGCTCAAGAGTAGCAGGGCTCGCTGCCACTGCCCACCTTTCTCGCAGCTGCTGATTGTGGCATTGTAGCAGATCCTTGGTTGACGGTTCAGGGTTTAAGGTATAGCATACGGTTTAGGGTTTAGGGTTTAAGGAATAGGGTTGGCCCTGTAAGCCCTTCGAAATACATTCATGAATACATGCCAGTCCAATACTGCAAGTCCCGATTAACAACACACCTCTTAAAAAGGGCTTCGCATGGGTAGCTCCCTGAATTAGGGTCCCTTTCTAAATCCCCTTGGATCCTAATTTTTAGAGAGCTACCCCTTATGGTACCCCACGGTACCCCCCAAAAAGGCAAAATACCGAAACGATCGCAATGCTGTCCCAAGGATCACATTTGGGCGAAGCTTTTCCTCAGACAAAGACCCGAAGAGTTGCAATGCCAGCTGCCATCGCATGCCCTTCTCCTTACTCCGGTCTCGGGTGTAGGGCTGTCAGTTCGTTTAGTCGTATTGAAGAGCTACTAAGTAAAGGTCAGTTTGTGGAATAATCAAGGGGCTATAGCAACGCACAAAAGTTAAAGGCTACTTACTTTACTACTAAGTCTCACAGGAGCTGATGGCCGCGCTGTAACCTGAGTTTCCGAGCTCGTAAGGCGAACAAAAAGTTACACTCTCAGCTTAGGGGTGCTTTAGTGCCCCAAAGAGTTCGAAACTTCCTACCTCAGCCGCTAAGGAGCTGATCACATCGGGGGACAGCTCCGACTGGCGCATGCTGTCGAACAGTTGCAAAGCCAACGGCCAGTTTCCTCCCTTTTCACCTGAACCCAGCGATATTGGACTACTAGTGGTTCGGCTGGCACATTGGAGTTCAGGGTTTAGGGCGTTGTGCAATACTTCTACAGATCTGTCAACGGCAAGACAGTAGACAACTGAGACAAGCTCGCAAATCCCAAAAGCGCCACCTAGTGACAGGAGCTGATTGATGCGCTGTAACTCACCACGTCGGGGCTGAGTTCTGCCTGCAACAAGCTCTGGAAAAGGGCCACCGACAGCTGCCAGGCTCCCACCTGGAGGGTTATATAAGGGCCCCATACATACATACATACCTACATGCATGCATGCATGCATGTATGTGTATACATGTGCTGTTGTATAATAATAATAATAAATATAAATATATATAAACATGTCTATATTCCATAGACAGATAGATAGACAGGCAGACAGATAGATAGGTAGCTAGATAGACAACCAGATAGCTAGATACACAGATGCATAGAGAGGCAGGCAGATAGGTCAAATAACAATAAGCAAATAAACGCGCAAACATATAGACAGACAGACAAATTGACAAACAATTAACTAACTCAATGAAAATGTAAGAAAAGCCATAAGTATATACATATATATATATACACAAGTGTAAAGACATACGGCTCTCTGTCTCTCTCTCTCTCTCTCTGTATATACATATACATAGACATGTAGATATATACATGGACATGTTGATAAACAAAGCGAAACTAGCTGTATAGATACATAGATTATATAGTTTATACATATGTAGATACAGAGATATGTAGATATACAGATCTATGGGCTCTGTGGGGGGGGGGGTCTATAAAGGGTCGATTAAGGTTCGACAAGGCTCTGTAATGGGTCCTATATAGGAGTTAGGATTAGGGGCACCCTCGGGTATATAGACCCTCTCAAAAAGGTCCCTCTTTAAGAGAGCCATAAATAGGAGTAAGAAGGATCCCTTTAAGGGGTCTCCCGAATACTACCTGGGACTAGAAAATGTAAAGCACACTACATCTGCAGCTATTCTAAACTCCACAATCGATTGTGGAGCCTTAATGATTAGGACAGGGCTCCGTTAAGGGACATGTTAGACGATATCTTCCTTGAAGTTCCGCGAAGAGTTGCCAGCCTTTCCGCAAGCGCTGAGGGCAGCTCCGTAGCTAATAATGTTGGGAGCCAGTTGCGCAGTCGGAATGGAGTGGAATAAAACCTGTGGTTACCCATAGGCCGCCCCCTAAGTAGTTCCTTTTTGTAATTTATGTTTAGAATCCTGTAAAATAATCCCAAAAAGGAACTTTTGATTTAAAGCTTGGGCTTCCGGTGCAAGTTCGGGTTCACGTGTTTGCGATTTGGCCCTAGACTGTGAGCCCTAACTCCAAACCGACAAACCTGATGAGGGCCGTAAACCACGGAGGACCCAATTGCAACACTCTCATATCACACCATGAAGCCCTAAATCCTGAACCCTACCTGATGGAAACCCAGTAAAGAGAAACCCAAACTTTGGGGTTTGAAGACCTCGAGGCGTTTGATGCGACGTGAACCCTAGAATCATTACACAACGCTTAATTAAGGACCCTGAGTATGCCGCATGCTGGGTTCTTGTCAAGGGATTTAAGTTAAGTATCTTATTTACTGTAGATCTCCATTATGGTAACTTAGCCCCTAAACCCTCCAAATCCTTGAAAAACCTAAATACTAAACCCTAAACCTGATAGCTCCCTAATATGGTAACTTAAATTAAACCCTTAACAAGAATCCAGTATCCCTATCACCCTAAGCCCCAGACTCCAACTATGGCCCTAAACCCTAAACCCTAAGCCCCAAACCACAACTAGGGCCCTAAACCCTACACCCTGGAAGGAGCCCAAAGGAGACCTTAGAGGAATCATCAAAGGAACTCTTAAAGACCTCCTAGACCCCAGAAACACCCACCATTTTTTAGGGACTTACATAAGGAAGTCATAATGAGGAACCTCAAATATTTAGGGCCCAGGTAAACTTTAAACCCCAAACCCAATAGCCTTGAAGGAGCCCAACAGTTGAGCTGAAAGGAAGCCACAGTTCAAAGAAATCCTAGACTAGATCCCGAAACCCTTAGAGGAGCCCTTAAAGGAGGCCTTAAAGGAGGCCTTAAAGGAGCCCTTAAAGGAGCCCTTAAAGGAACCCTTAGAGGAACCTACAAAACACATCCGCAAAAAAAATTCCCTCGAAGCAATGGGTTCCCTGAATTAAAGGGGTTCCTTCAACGGCTTCCTTGAAGGAACCCCCTTTAACCCTTAGAGGAACCTACCAAGAAAACCTTGAAAGAAACCTATTAAACCCTGGAAGCAACCCTAAACCGTAAACCCTAAACCCCTAAACCCTAAACCCCTAAACCCCTAGACCCTAAACCCTTAAACCCTAAACCCCTAAACCCTAAACCCCTAAACCCTAAACCCTCGACTCTTGAAGTCCCGGTGCCAAGGCTTGCTGCCACCACCTCCCGAAGGGTCGGTTCTGAGAAGGTTGCGGTAGGCTTGGGGTGTTCGGTTCTTGTTGAGGAACTGGGTTTAGGGATTAGGGTAGGGTTTAGGGTTTAGGGTTTAGGGTTTAGGATTTAGGGATTAGGGTTTCGGGTCCAGGGTTTCGGATTTGGGATATAAGGTAGAGGCCAGAAAGTTGGAACATCATTATCCTGACACCTGTAAGGTAAAGTATAGGGAATCTGAACACAAACCATCCTTACTTCAACTTCCACCTTTCTGGGAATCCGGAGTATATGCAGCTTATATATGGGCTTGTGGGTTTTGGGGCGTGAAGAGTGTGGGGTTGAGGGCCTTTGGGTTTCAGCCGTTGAATTGAACAGTCAGAATTTGGCCAGGTTTAGGCATTGAGGCCGCTTCGGGATCCTCACCTCTGTCAAACCTGTCCCAAAACTTCAGAGCCCCTGACTCTGCAAGCAGTGTTGCAATCCGAACCCAAGTCCTACGACCTCTATCCTAGGTAACTATCCCTTTGAACTGCCCCAGAAGTTGTTTGTACTTAGGAGGGTTCTCTAGATTAAACCACGTCACCAACGGAAAGTAACAACTAGGTTGATACATAGTATGCGACATAGAAAGGCTGTTGTTGGACCCCCAAATCTGTCAAATCAACGCCAGCTGGGATTTGAGCGTTAAGTTCAGGTTTGGGGCCTACGGGTTTTGGGGTTCATAGGGAACTAGCTGTTTAAGTTTAGGAGATTGCGTTTGGCGGCGGCAAAAGCAGATTTAGTCTAGGAGTTTGGGGATTGGGGATTTAGATTTTGGGGCTCAGCAAACAAGAACTGACACCTCCATGCTATTTTGACTGCTGTTAATTTCAGCAGATTTCCGACGCCCGAACAAAATAACCTAAACACAACGAATGCTCTCGATTTAGTGAAATAGCACGTGCGGTTTTGCGGGAAACTCCACGCAGGGCTATGCATCCCTGATTTGGGAATGTAACCCATTGGGCTTATAGCACCTTACTTAGCACCCTGCGTTCGAATCAGAACCAACAAGGGTATCCGACCCTTCCCCAACCCCAACCCCACAAAGCAAACCAAAATGCTAAACCATGAGCTCCTCACATCCTAAAGTAAGGGCCTGGATCATCATCAGAATAGGGCTTGCTTTTCAATACATGCGGTCCCTTTTACATACATACCAGAACAAACATTTTATCTAGGCTTCCATATATTGTACATCCCAAACTGCTATTGCAGAGACCGATGCTCCTCCCTGGACAGCCCTTTGGGGCCTAACGCTGGCACATGCGCTGATGCCCAAGGAGTAGTGCGGAAGCTCCAGCTTCATCGTGGATGACTCCTGAAAGTACGAATGCTGCCTGCAATCCGAAAACAAAATGCAGGGCTCAAAGCGGGGGGCTCTTGCGAGTCGAGAACTTAACACACCCACCCAATGCAATGTTGATTTCGGTACAGCCCTGACAAGCCCCGATTCTGTTGAACTAAGGCATGTCTCCAGGGTCCGAATCACCTCAATGACGAGGTCTGCACGCCGCCTCCGTTTCCTGGCTTCGCGAGAAGGAACTTACAGTTACTTGTCAAATTACTTGCCTTCCTCCTTGCGCAACTTTCCTTTCCACCGTGTCAACAGCATTATGAACCCGATGAGCTTGCTATGTCCTTCAGCTATGGGAAATAGTTATAGGTGCTCAGGGCTGAATTTACTACCCTTGCACCGTTTAATTGTTTCAAGGCTAAAAGCGTGTTTACACCCAAGAACATCGAAGGCTGCCTACAAAAAAGTCTGAACAAATACAAATGCTATTCAATTACTGTTTAGGGTTCCAAACTATAGTTAAAACGCCCCTACATTAACCGATCCCCGAACACTCACTCCCGTAAGAACCCTAAACCCTAAACGGCCCTAACCCTAACCCCAAGTTCCGGTAAGAAGAGACAAGTTTCAGAGACTGGAGCACCAGTGCCAACTCAGATGACTTCCAGGCAGGCCTGAGTTCGCTGGGAGGTTTAGGGTTTTGGGTTTAGGGGGTTAGGTTACAGCTTAGGCTTTGCGGTTTGGCTTCGGGTGTGGTTATGTCATGGTGCTCGATTCGTTTGTGGAAATAGAGGCTTCGGCAGCACTGACGGAGGCAATTGCCTTCAAAGGGCCCACGCTAAATCGACATGGGAGCTGTGAACCAAGGCGTTCTTTGATCGACCATCTACAAGCTCCCCCCTAAACCCTAAACCCTAAACCCCTATATAAACCCTAAACCCCTAAACCCTAAACCCTAAACCGACTAATTTTTGGTTGGAGAAAGTGCCTTGCCTAGGATGGCATCTGGGCACCGGGAAGGACCACGAGACTTCCGGTTGGAAAACGCAACCAAAAGTCTCGTGCTTGAGGATGAGGGCCTCTACCCATAGGCCCCTAAGTAGTTCCTCTTTATGGTTTATATTTAGAATCCTAGAAGGTAATCCCAAAAAGGAACTACTTACGGGCCTACTTTTCGTCAGGGGCGTAAATGTCCAACACCTTCACAAGCAGAAAGAGGCGGCGGCACTGGTTCAACAGGCCCAGGTCTCCAAGCGGTCCATCGCCGCCCCCACTTTGCCGAATTTCGTTCTCCACATACTCTTCGAAAGCACTTTCACCATGTCGGCAAAGTATGGCACGTGCGTGATGACAGTGGCGGTGCTCAGAAGCCTTTAACGCTCTCCGTCTTGATGTTCCGCTTGACATGTTCAGGACCGCTTATACCAAGGGCAGCGCCGAACCATACCCGCCCCCCCAACCAGGTGGGCAACCTTTTTATGCTTTAGTGT